GCATAACATGGCACGAATGCAAGCCAGAGGGTGATGGATGTGCAGCTCCCCAGGAGGTGCCAAGGCTTCAAGGATGTCAGTCCCACAGCACCAGTCACCTGTCTGTGAGGGAACATCATAGTTAAAGACAAGAATATATAATATTTAACTGCAGCATGGCTCTGCCTCCAGACCAGCAGTGTGGCTAAGCATGTCTGCTTTGGAGGCGCCCTGTCCACCACTGTCCCAAGTCTGACATAGTTCAGTAGGCAGTCTTCTCCTGGCTCCCACTCCACTCCGTCCATCACTTCACTCATGGCTGAGCCTCAAGGCAGTTCAAGAAGCCTTGGGAGTGCTTTCAGAGAGTGAAAACTAAACACTGATGTTGCTTTTCCACTAACAATTTGCATTTCTAATATTTCTTCAGCTTGATGTGGTTGTGTTGTGTTTTGTAATCTCCTACAGAGCAGCAATTCTGATCTGTGGATAATCCTATATTTCAGAGGTGGGTTTGTTTGACTTTTTAAATTTTCTTTACTTAATTTTTAAAAATTGTCACATCCGCAAAAGTAAAAAGGTCAGCAATTGTAAAGCAGCTCCCTTCCTGAGTGAAATGAGCCAACTGCTGAATGCAGATCTCAAGTGACATCTGAGGTTGGGTGTTACACTAAGTCCTTGGCACAGCAGGAGAGGCATAGGATGGCCACTGAGGGGCTAGAAGAGTTTACTGGCCTAACTGTCAGCACAAAGCTATTGAAGATGCATTAACATAGATGTGAAAAGCTGAAAAAGGAAGCTTCATCTTCCAGTGCAAGTCAGCACCAAGGAAACTCCCAGTGACTATATATTCACTCTGACAAATAACGTAAGTTCGGATTTCAGGAAGCACCTCTGGACTTACAGAAAGGCTGCAGCTCAGTAAGTGACAAGTTCATCTTGTGGGGGGAAACTTCTCACAAACTTCATGGAAAAATAGAAAATGGAAAAATGTTTTTATTATAAAATGCTTCCTCGTAGTCCAGCTTGCATTACAAAGTAAGAGTAAGATTATGAATATTAAGTTTGTAAAACCTTTTGAGAAAATTTCTTGAAGAAGCTTCATGCTGCCGTTAGAGCAAGTAAAACCTCACAACTTTTTAGAACAAAAAAGAATTAGAGTGGTAAATCAGTCACTAGAGAACCTCCTGTGCTTTGAGTAATGAGTACTTGTGTGAGTGATGTTTTTCATGTGATCTTCTTGTGGCAATCACTAATAATGAGAGAGATGGTTCATGTTGCCACTCCCTGGCACAGCTGATGTACTTCTTTCCCTCAGGAAAATATTAAAACTTTACTATTTGGGTGCTGCGGGTGAGAATTGTACTGAAAACCACTTGTAAAGATTTTAATGGACTTATCCTCTTTTATGGTGCTGCTTGATTAAGACAAATGCATTGCTGCATTATAAAAAGGACAGAGGCTTTTTAATACTCGTTCAAATTTTAATGTTATTAAATCAGAAGTGTCTGCCTAGCTTTCACACTTGCTAGGAAGGCAGAATTTTAAAATCACAGTATTCTCCTCTGCCAAAAACACATCAAAATGCAACTCAACTCCATGGCAATGTTATGTAACATAAATAATGTCCTTAGTGTTTAAAGCTGTTATGTAGCAATAAGGACATAACAGTCTTTGTGGTACAGAAAGAGCAAGAAATGGCTTCAACCAGTCCTGCTTCTTTAAAATGCAGACAACTAATATCCCTAAAGTGTGAACTTTCATTTCACAGAGAGAACTTTCACACTTTCTATTAGATTTAATAAGGGAGGGTTTCATTCCAACAATTTAATGCTAGCGCTGTCATAGTCTTTCATTATTCTGGACTTGTGGACTGCTTTTGCAGAAAACAGCTTTAGAATATAGGTCAACATTAAAGGATTTTGAAATAAGGCGAAAATGCTCTTATTCCTCTTTTGAGTGGGTCCTTTATTTTAGTACCTATAAGAGAAGTTCTCTCTTCTCCAAATCCTTTCTCCCCAGGAGGAATCAGCAGGGACATTGTGACTTACTTGAAAGTTAAGAGGCTGAAAAGCTTTAGAGGAGGCATTGTAATCTGTTACAAAACATGTACAGGGCAGAGGCATAGATTTAGAGTTGTTGGTATCTCTCCAACACATTGGAGAGAAGCATGACATGATTAGGTTACTCATGAAGTGTTAATCTTGCAGCAATGAGGAAATCTAAAAAATAAAATCCCAATCCTCATGTTTACACCAGATTAACGAGTACGAAGAGGCAAGCATCTCTGTTCATTGTTGCTTTGAGATGTATAATCTCTATCCTTTTGAATCTTCTGAAGTTTGCGTACAGAAAATGTAATCATTACAAGTACAAAACCTGTTTTAGTTGCTAAATACTCTTTATTTCATAAAAAAATCCAGTGTTGTTAGCTTTCTGTTTCTAAAGAAGCAGTATTGATCAAACCCAGAAGAACATGGTGATGTGAGGAAAGAGGTGAGGAAGCAAGCTTGCAATGAGTCCCATCTTTTGTTTTTTTCCAAGCTGCTGGGTCAGCATTCATAACTATCTTAACTCGCATGGGGTATACAAAGATAGGTGACTCTCTGCTTTTTTTTACCTTGTCACTCAGTTTGAATATTAAGAACAAGTTTGGCGTTTTGAGCTAGCAAAGCTGAGGTTGCTTGGTAAACATGCTAAGGTAGTTGGTAGTGATCTTGAAAGCCCTAAAGCAATGTGTTTGAGGACTCCCAGTGCTGTGAATCCATGGTGATGGTGCTGTGAAACTGTTTTGTGAATTGCATGGATCACTGCATTCACTGGGCAGAAGAGCATCCTTTCTGGTCAGTAACTCCTGCTAAGTCCCTTCCAACCCATCAGTGCAGTTTTATCCATCGTAATGATTGTGTCTCTGTGCTATTGACTGAATTCTTGTACTCTCAGCACCTGTAGAAACTCAGTGGACAAAAGCAAATCAAATTCAGCAAGCAGAAGGTATAGTATTCTGATGCAGTTTCCATGAGAGCGAGTGGTTCCTGCCCACAAAGAAGGCAGGTTCTCAAAATGCCAAAGAATTGCAGGTTTGAGAGAGAAATTTGCGTCCATTCAGGTTCATCACTGTGCCAGCGGCCAAGCCCAGGTCAGTGGGTCAGGTCTTGGACAGCCATCTTAACAGATTTCTTGGTGTCAGCATTGTAGGAATTCAGAGATTCTGTACTTCACAGGCAGACAAAGGCATTGCTTGTGCTCTGGACACTAGTGTTTTATCAGATGTCCATCATCTGTGTGCCACATGTAAAGATATTTTCCAGAAAATGAAAAGGATTTTTGCTCTTGTCACATGTTAGTTATATTTGTAAAATGGTGAATATTGAAACCGATCAGCCTCCTGGGAGCCATAGTTAGGCTTGGGATATTACTGTGCAAATAGATAGTAAAGGGCTAATATTATTACATTATCTGTAAATACCTCTCTTTCATCTACTTGCTGGCACGGGATACAGAAAAAATAGACTTCTGTTCCATTATGTGCTTTTTCTTCAGTTGACTTAAGTAGAGCAGCTAATGTAACTTTAAGGGTTCACAGTTTGAATACGATAGGCTTCACTGATTTTTATTTTTAATTTTCCACTGCTAGTGTTTGCTACTAAACGCTTTCCAGTGGTGACAGAAAAGTGGACCATATTATGTTGTTCTGCTTTTTGTGAAGTGGATGTTCCTTTTTTATCAGTATACTGAAACTTAAAACATCTGGATTTGGACTGGAAGCGCTTAGTTGAAACCAGGTTCAGTATATTTGTTTCTTAACAAGTGTCTCCTGAGGTTCGGCGCTGAGTAAGAACTACATTGCTGGTCTGTCAATTCGTGAGGTTTTATTTACTTATGAAATGTTGTGTGTTAAACAAAAATTGTGCATTGTCGCTTGCCTTGCACTTTATAAAGAAAACTGCAGAGTCCTTGAAGGAGAATCTAAAGGTTACAGGGGGACTTTCATTTTACTTTGTTTTTCACACATAGCCCCAGCTTTAAAAAAATGGAGTTAAATCATCTGAATATGTCCAGGTCTGGAAGTGCTGTGAGTCCAGAACTCCTGATAGTAACATCATTTCTTTAGGAGTTCCTATAGTGACACTGGATACTAACATTAGCCTTTTGTTCTCTAAAATCCTGTTGCTAAGAATAAGTCAGCTTTAATTTATAGGAAGAACCCTAGGATCCCCCCTCTCCAGTGACACCCTTGGTAGGAAACGTACAGGCCCACTGTGGGTTACCCTGCAATCACCTGTGGTTGCTGTTGCCTGGGAATAGGGCACAGATTCTCTCCACACTCTGCTGAAGTAACAGGTGAAGCAAGTTGTCACATACTACATTGAGAAGAATACAGAGCTTGCCAGTATCTCATGGCTTTATAAAAAGTATCAGAACTCTGGGGAGAAATCCATCAGGATGAATTATTGACGTCAGTGATGCTTCCTGTTGAAAGTCAGAAACCAAAGCGCAGTTGTGCCATTCTTTGCTCATTCTGCTTTGAGGTCCTCTGATTAGGCTTTCTCTACTATATGGATTTCCCCAAATAAAAACAGTGATGTATTTTTATGTAAATGTCTTCTTTTTTTTTTTTTTTTTTTTTGTGGTGCATTAATGGGCTGGTATTCCTACAGTATCTGTATATTTGTGTAAAGGCTATTTTTAAAACCTTTCTGTGCTGTTCAAAGTCTTGTTTGTATTTTTCTAAGAGGCTGTAGTGTTGGCATTATAATATAAAAGGGAGACCACCTCTTCTGGTAGAACCAAAACTAAATAAAACTTTGAGTAAAGTGAATAAGATATTTACTTATGAATTACATTGTGGGTTTTTTTACCTTAATATACCAGACACTTGTGAACTACAAACAATAAAGAAGTTAATATGTTTATGCTGTGAGGTCTAAAAGATCCTCTTTCTTTTTGTTTTCTTTTTTTTTTCCCCCACATTTATTTGTTGTAGAATCATTCTAAATATGTAGTTTATTTTTCTGTTTTAGGCTCCTAAGGACCCAGTCTCTGGATTGGTACTATAATAATGTCAAAAGCCGCTTTAAGTGTTTTGGAAGTGCCAAGGTCCTGAAGAACCTGTACAAAAAGCATAGGCTGGAGAGCGGAGTTTGTCCTGATACAGTAGGTAAGAACAGCTGTGTTGATTTCTTATAAGATTTATTCATATCTACTCTAACATACAAGTTGAGACAAAGGAAATTCTGAGATTATTTCAACAGAGATCTTTTTAAAGCAATTTTTTTTTTCTTGCAAAAGAAATGCCTCAGTGGAGAGCAAAAATAGGTGAAGTGTCTAGAGAGCTGTTTAAGAATTTAAAGAATGTTTTATCTTAATTATGTCACTGATACAGTACTGTCTGTAAAGTAAATTACAGTTTGTATTCTAGCTTGTGTCCCAAAATTTTTCACATTCCTGAGTGGTCAGTGAATGAGAAAATAATTTTGTGCACCACATTTGATCTTAGAGCATATTTCTGTGGTGCTTGAAACAAAATCTGATTAACATGGGATCCATTCAGTATCCAAGTTGACTAAAGCTTAGATTCCCTCACCAAGAGTTTTGCATGCTTAAGGATCTGAAACTGGCCACATTTTTTTTTATCTATGTTTATAAATAGTTAAAAGATACTGATAAAGTATTGGCATCATCCTTTTAAATGAAGATACAATTCTCCCTTAACTATGGTGTTCTAATACCTCACCCCATAAGAAGAGTAACTGGACATATAAAATGTGTTGGAAGAAGTGGAGTTTGGTGTCATACTGGTAACTTCAGCAAATTACTCAAAACACAGCTAGCTGAATATTTGACATTCTTTGGATATATTTGACTAGATAATTTACTAATGTGATTCTTTTAACATTTGTACAGAGACTGGTAATTATTCTACAGTCTTTACTTTGTTTTTTTCTGAAATTACAGAGGATCGTAAGTAGACTCTCTAGACCTGAGTGGAAATTTTAGGTGTTTCTTATGAAAGTGACATAAAATCTTCTAGGGAGAAGTGACCTATGTTTTAAATTGTGATTTATTAGTCTTTTTTCTTTCTCGGTATCAAATCTATTTCTCTTGAGAAGTTTCCTTAACAATGGAGAATAAATACACATGAAGACAAGCAAAGTTGTGTCATTGAGGGCAAAAGTGGAATAATGGAAGTAAAAACTGTGGCAACGGATGCTTCAGAACTTTTATGATGAAAGTTCTTTACTTAAGCCATAGTGTCACTTGTTCCTTGAATGGAAGTGTGAACGGTGCCATGATAAGTTGCAGTGGCATGTGCACTCTCTGTGAGACCTTTCTGAGGAAGGCCTTTGAGTCTAAATGTCATTGCTAACTTTCTGCAACTCTCTGTGTGAATGTAAAGTAAACCTTTTGTTCCATTTGAAGATAAATACTTGTATAGGTGTCTTATTTATACAACATTGCCCTTTAAAATGTAGAATCTATTTGAACCCAAAATGTCATAGTAAAGGCAAATTCCCTGTACTTCCACCATGTGAGTTTTATGCCTACTAACCTCTTCCCCTCTCTTTTACTGTTGTAATAGTTTTCTCCACCCAAAGTGAATGAGAGGTCTTTGATATAAAAGCAAACATGTTTTGTACAAAAGCTGCTGCAGTCATGATTTATACAACAGCTAGGAGGAATTTTCCAGTTATCCCTCGCTGTTTGCACTGCCACCTTATCTTGAGTGAATCTTCTAATCTAATAATGCCTCTACTGTTAATGGGTACATCTAATACTAACACGAAATTCTGTCTTTCTTTCCTTTTAGCCGAAGGGAGTTTGTTTGAAGGAAGCATTGAGAATGAAGGAAGCATTTGTGGCAGTGACTCTACGTTCTACCAACAGACAGAAGGTATGCTGCTAAAAACTCTTTTGATTAAACACAGTCCTTACACTTTGAATTAATGGACAATTTAGCTTAGAGCGCTGGTAAGTCTTGTTCACAGATCCAAAAATACTTTGGCTGAAACATTCAACAAGATACTAAAAGTCTTTTGCCTACCATGCTGGGATATTTTGCTTCAGTGTGTACAGCTAATACACGCCTATTCTAGTGTGATTTCCTTAATGTTAATTTTTTACTTCTCTTCTAACAGCCACATAAAAAATACTCTGTTTTCCTGTATTTAAGATTTACATTTAGGAAGAAACATGGAGATTGAGACAAATTTATCTGTCTTAAGTTGTTTATTTTGCTGTGCATAAATATAGATTGAGGAAATGAACTTTATCATGAACAGTATAGGATTTTAATGTATGTCCAGAATATGAGTCTGAATTTTGGAGCTCATTATGCAAAATGTGCATATATAAAGAACATGGTGGTTTTATCTTATTCTTCATCTAGGACACAGCATGATGGATACCCTTGCTGTGGCCTTACGTGTTGCAGAGGAAGCAGTGGAAGAAGCTATTTCTAAGGCAGAGACCTACAGTGACAGCCTGGTAACAATTTCAAACAAAATGTATTAATTTAAATAGGACAACTATGTTTCTTTTGATTTGGGTAGTGGTACAAAACCAAGTAGATACAAAAGAAAACATAAAGAGGTAGTGGCTATCCCGTGCTATACCTAAAGAGTTGGACACGGATTTTATGAACTGGTATCCAAGATGCATGTTACGTTTCAGAAGGTGACATGCAATCTAAGTGCCTGGAATTTTTTCCCACAGTGCCAGTAGGGCATATTATCCATTTCCCAGTCTATACAACTTCTGTGGAAAGGCTGGTTTTATATGATTTTAGCAAATACAGATATCCATTTTCATGCAGGACAAGCAGAATGAAGCTTGTTACTTGCAGGAGCACAAGGAGGACCTCATAGAAGAGCTGGCCACAACCATTGTGCAAAAGGTATGGGATGCTTTTTTCCTTAGCTTGTTTAATAGCCGAAACACAATGCTTTAGTCTGGTGAACTTTAACTCTGCTAACAGCAAAAAGGATGATACCAATATAGAAAGTAAAGTAAATGACAAGTTGAAACTTCAACTATGACAGTATAGGCTTAGTCAGCTACATCTGACAGAGAAATCAATTTATAAATGAGATTAATCCAGTGCTTAACCTGATGCCCTACACCCTCAGAGCTGAGGTACTACTACCTGAGGTCTGTGCTGAGAGGTACTACTCCCTGAGGTCTGTGATATCCTTTCTTGGCCCCTGCTTGATGGAATTTTACATCTGTACTTCACTTCCCCAAGGGCATGAAGTTTTCCAGTGGCAAGAGCTGTGGCTCTTGATCATACCCTCTCCTGAACCCTGCATCTGCAATACATTCAAAGAAAACATCAACCATTAAAATAGAATTTTGTTAATGATGTTTCTAGAGACACATACACAGACAAAATCACAGAACCCTTGGCATGTCAGATATCTGTGGCTTTTTCCATAAAGCTCGTTCTTCTCCCTGCAAAGCTCGCAGCTGGCACTGATGAAGAACAAAAGTGGAGGGCTACTGGGAACAAATACCCCTTGAGTTTGTCTGGACAGTTTGAGCAAGGCAAGATTAGCATGAACAGAGTGCTGTTGAGCTCCTATGATCAGTAAAGTAACCAGTCTGCTATGATAATCTCCTTCCATATAAAGTAAGCTAGTTGCCACATATGTGTATGGGGTGTGGCATTAAACAATGTATCACACACCAGAAGAGAAACATGTTGTTTATAAGGCTATCAAAAAAAGCCAGAAGAGCAGCATTTTCTCAATGAAAAATAATCTGCCTTCTTTTTTAATAGGGATGTTAGAAGATTAATTCTACTTATTGGGTCTTTCATAGTCAGGAACCTGCCTCAGCCAAGCTTGAATTGCTACTGCTTTTGTCAAGAGCTGCCTAATAAGATCTTTTATGCCATATAATAATATTCTGTAGATATTTTATATTTGAGTCAAAGAAAGTTGTGGAAATTAAGTACAGTGGGATATAATCTGTCAGTGTAGGGAGACAGGTAGCCTCCATGATCTCTCTCTCTCTTAAGATAGTGTAGATTCTCAAAAAAAAAATTGTTCCTAGACACCTAAGACCTCATTGTTTTCACTAGAAATGTGTCTAGATGTCATGGGAGCATTTGAAATTCCCCTCCTATGTAGTATTTTGTGATTCTTGGCAAAAAGTCTTGTCTGAGAAAATACTTGACACTTAAACACTGCTAATGTTTAAAGTGTTGCCGTAGGAACAAATTTCCATGTTTATTTAATTCACCTTCATTATTGTTCCTACAGCCCTTGATTTTGATTTATTGTATCAATGCTTATGTGCTTGCAAGCAGTATGACTTCAGATGAGAAGAAGTGCATGCAAGTTGTCAGAATCATCCTTTGCATGAGCTGGAGCAAGAGCAAAGGGAAACTCAAATGTTCTTCCTAGGCAGGTCGCCTTGACAGAGGGTTAATGTAGTTTTTCTCCGTACAGCTCAGACAGTACTTTCTGAGCCCCTCTTTTCTCTCCTCTCCCACCCCTTGTCCTCCTGCCTTACAGATCATAAAGAAGCAGAAAAGCAAAACCGAGCAGGCTGAGGCTGACTTTGAATGGCCACCATCCAGGAGCAGCGGCCTGGCATCTGTCGCTGTCTCAGATCAGAGCATGCTGACTTTTCCAGGGAGCCGCAGGGGGTCCTACACGTTATGGGTGAGTGGCACAGCACAACCATTGATGTTTTCTGATGCACAAGACCAGCAGATTGTGGTCATGGATAAGTATACTTATTGCCTGGAATGGTGTGTAGAGACTTATAGAGAACAGACATTAAACCTATGGCTGGACAAAGTGTTGCCCATGTTTCCTACCATCCCATGAGCCATGGAAGTACATCACAGACGTTGTGTTGTGTTGAGGAGTACTAAGTTTCAGATATGAGAAATCTCACTGCTTGATTTGAATGTTAATAGGACTCAATGCCTCAGTGTTTGTTCTTCTAAACAGTTTTTCTGCTTGCTTAGCTTTGATTTAGATTTTTGTTGAGCATTATGTTTTCTTTTGTATAATGTTAGATTTCTGTAATGTTTCTTTTTCTCTTTAGCAGTCTTAAAGAAACAGCTGCCACCTACAAAGAAAAAGTAAACCCAACTCTAGAGCATCATTTATGTCTTACACTAAAGAGTGTTTCCTCCTTTCACTTATTTTGCAGCGTAATGTGTTTAGCTCCTGCTACAAAGCTGAAGAAAATCTGACAAGCTGCATTAGTAACACTTTTAAAAGAGCGGCAAGTAAAAAGAAGTTAAAATAAGCTGTAGACTTGGACAGGCTGCTTTACAATTGGACAGAAAAGACAGGGACAGACAAGTTAGTTCCAGTGCATTTTGATACTGTGGTTTAAGTGTCCTGCTGCTGTGCCAGTAATCACCTTTCCCTCGCTGAGCGGAACCACCAGAACTGAATGTGGGCTGTGTCTTAATTCCCACTTACACTCCCAATGAGAATAGATTTATGCCAGAATACCAGAATTGCTGAGATACAGACTTGCATTCTAATCCCTCACCTCTATCCGAATGGGAAGTGTAATGCCTATAAGATGCTGCTGTTAACCAGGTGATCAGAAGTCAGGGTGAGCATGTTTAAGAGTTTTACTCTGTCACTCCTAGGCCAGTTGCTTGCAGAATATAAGAGCCAGGACAGAGAGTTAATTTTGTGTCTGACTCAGCTGAGGTTTCTTTTTTGAGTTTAAGGACAGGAACTAGAGAAATATGCTGTTCAAATCTGTGGTCATTATACCAGAAGCTTGGTGCTCTGCATTTGGATAGCTAAGCTTGGAATCCTCTTCTAAAGTAGCAATTTAGTCCTAATTTTTTTGCCAGACGGGGGCTCATTGGTTTGAGTAATAGTAGACTTTCTGAAAAATACTGGTGTAGCAGAAATGTCACATTAAGGTGAGCACAGCTTCAAAACTTCTATACCCATCAGTCAGTACTAGAGATCCAGATGTGTACAGTGCTTTATAAGGACTCTCTACCTCTTCACAGGGTTTTTTGTTACATTTGTCATCATTTGTTCCAATTGCCTTCCCACAGTGCTTTAAGGAACACGAATGAATTTGGCCATCTGCTGTGATTTCTTTCACCTCTCCCATAAGTTTAGTTTCTGCCTTTTGCTTTGCTAGTGTTGTTTTACTGTTTTCCCTTGTTCTTTGAAGTGTGTAAGTGTTTATTTTTGCTTTGCTTTGAACAGAAGAATTTTGTTAGTATGACAAAACACCCTTGGAATGGGAGTATAGCTCTAGTTGTTCCCATAGCTAATATAGTTGCAGTTATGTTAGCCTGTTAGACTAGCAGAATTAAAGTCACAGAAGCTCTAACAAAGGGCCTGCTGGAAAGCCTACTGAAAGGCAATTTGTGCAGAGCAAATGCAGAGCAGTTACAGCCTGCTTTATTCTCATCAACAGTGCTGAAACAACCCAGATTCCTTTTCCTAAGTTCACTTTCCATTCCACTTCGTTTTCATCCAGCAACAATTGGGAAGCATGCATCTGTCAGTAGCTTTACAGGATTAAACCTCACCAATTTCTCCTCTGTATATCATATGAGAAAGTTATCTTTTCTGCCAACAGAATTGCAATTATTTTTTTTCTTTCCAAAACAAAGCTGAGCTTCTACAGAAGCTGGCAGAGAGGGCCATGGTCCTATGCCCATTCCAGGCAAAGCTCCTTACTCCCAGGAGTCCAAGTCTATAACAGCAAATCTCTGTGGGCTCCAGTGCAAAATATGAAGTTTTCTTAGTTCCTAACTGTTGACATTACATCACCAACAAAAAAACCAAACTCTTGATTTGTGTACACGTTCTAACATTGAGTGTGTGTTGACTTAGTTTGAGCAGAGATCTGCCAGTAATGAAAAAAACCTTTAAATATTAGTACACACCACAGCTGACAAGATGTCTGTTGCAACAAATTTATTAGCATGGGTGTTGCTACTTTAACCAAGGTTTTTGTAGACAGACATTGTGACCACAGCAATCCCAAGAGAAGGAAAAATTAAAACAAGTGTTCTGGTTTTTTTCTATCAAATGTGACTCAAGGTGACTATTACTATGTCAGAGTTATGTATGTGAGCATGTTTCCCAATAAGAATTATTTAAGTAGAACTTCCCTTGTTTAAGTATTTCTTTGGTACCTGGCAAACAAATTAGGAAAAACAGGATAGATTAAATAAAAGGAAAGAAGTAACAATTAACAAAAATATGGATGTGCAGAGGAAAGGGAGGTAAGGATTGCAAATATTAAGGCGGTCAGGATTTCATAATTTAAAACTGGAAATTTTTCTCAGAGAAAATATTTTTATTTGTCTTCAGTGTAGAAAATAATTCATGCAGTTTTGCTAGCATAGTAAAGCTGGTAACATACAACGTAGGGCAGTTAAACGTTATAACACTGGCCTTTACAGACCCTGTTTATTATTGCATTACATTTTACTACCAAAGTCACTTACTTTCAGTGTTGGGGGTGCTGTAATTCCAGCTATCATCTTGTGGTTATACCTACCAAGCAGTTTTTCTTTTAATCTCAGCTATTTGCATGCAGCTCATCCATATCAGCCAGAAACTTCCAGTGGACTGTGGAAACCCTACATTACCTCCATTGCTAATCCAAAATCACTTGCTTTGAAATCATCATTAAATATCTTAAGCTCCCTCCCTGTCCCTCCCCCCACCCTCAAATATAGCATTGATTGTTTAACATTGTTTATGGAGTGGTAGTGTCTATAGATACTGTCTTTCCCTTTCTTTCCTCTTAGATTTTTTTGAGATCCCTTGCCCATGCTAAAAATAGTCAGACAAGGCTGAATATTTTATTTCCCCATCCCATAAAAAGAGATGGATGGCACCATCTGTTTCTCATTACCAAAAAGCAAAAGCTGTACAGTGTTGGGATAGGAGGAGCTTAGAGCAATGGGCGGATACTCCTCTGCTTTCTCAGCCCAGTTCCCCCCTATACATCACTGAAAACGAGAGAGCAAACGACCAGTTGGCATATTGTATCCCATTTAAACATTGATGGAGTGCAGGCACCCTGGTGTGTTTTAAGTGCTGTATTAGTGGTCTTTATTTTACAGCTAAAAGATTGCACATATAAACAGAAGCTCATCCATAATTTATAGTATATAAAACAGCTAGGGATATAGGGAAAAGGAGGATTTCATTAAATACACATTATGATGCACCTCAGGGGAAGCAGAAATTTACTGGTTAAGCTAATTATAGGGTCCACAGTGTACTGACAGTTGTTTATTTTTTCTTCTTTATTTTTCACCTATTTGATTTGTTCTAAAGAGAAGGAAGATTCTGCAAGCAGGAGGTTTTGCAGATACTCAATACCTTGCTAGGTTTGTCTCAAACAAGTACTTGAAGAAAACCTTTTTGAGGTTCATGCCTTTTTAGTAGTCATACAACACAGTGGGAGAGTGATTTCAGATGAGGGAGGCATCACATTGTAGAAAGTTGATACCAGCTGACATCAGTTACTACCTGTCAATGACTCTGTCTCAGAAACATCATATTTATGTCTAATTAATAAATGTATCACGACATAGAGAAGATGGAGCTTTTAGCTTTTATACATGAGCTACCATCAGAAGTTTGCATGACATGTATTGCTGGGACCTACTACCAATGAGGCAGGCGTGCATTCATCCAGAAGCCCATCAGCTGGATCTGATGGGTTATTTGCTGTCTTGTTTCCTTCCGAAAGAAGCCCACTCCAGCACCATCTCCTCTGCACAGAATGGGAAAGAACAGTACATTTTCAGTGCTTTGGAAAAAAAGGGTCTTTTTTATTAATATTTATTATGTGAAAATCCAAATTTCTCTAAGTACTTTCCGGGTTGCAGATAACGCTGGCATCTGCTGACTTCACAGATGACATTGTAATATTGTAATCTCACTGCAGAAGTGATCTGGATTTCAGATTAAGACAACTCTGCCTGTAGTAATCTGGTTGATTTCCCTCCTTCCACTGCTGCAGAGAGACAGGATACAACTACTTTTGCTGTTCTGATTCAGCAACTACTAGTAGTTTTTAAGGCTCAGGTTGCTAAATAATCAGTGCAAGGCTAAACACAACAGCATTGTCCTCTGAAGGTTGTTTGTATAGTTCGAGTATGTACTTCATCTTGAGATGTATCACTAGCATAAGATTACTCATTTTTGATCTCATAGTACTATCCATACACTTGACAAACGTTCAAGAAGACAGTTTTGGATGCTAGGTACATGATCAAGCCCATGCAGGCCTACATTCAGCCACATTGCACTTACTCTCAACAAACCAAGATAGGTATTAAGGCATGAAAGGGAGTAGGAGAGAGGACAGAGAAGGGTGGTCATTCTATAATGTTATTCTCCAAATAGTTTAGGTCATATGTTGTTCTCCCAGATTTATTCCTGGGTGTCTCAGAATTTTCAGGTCTAACTTAAAACCAGACCTAGGCTACCTGACAAGTCCTACTTTATTTTAGATTAAAGCAGGGCAAGATTTAGATTATTGTCATGGCAAGAAACAAATAAACACAGAACACTTAAGATTTCCTCTGTCAGTTGGTTGTTTGAGTAGGAGATATAGTGATTTTGTCTCTGATGGGCGTGTGCTGTGCTAAGCACAACTTTGTAGATGAGGGTCAGAACAGGACATGAGGGAACTA